ATCGGGCTTTATACTCTGCTCACCTCTCTAGCTTCAACAGCACAAAGTCTGCTTCGACTATCAAGGCACCCCGGAAATAACCGGTCACATGAGATGAGAGTAATAAACATACAAAAGTAGTAGAGGAAAATTGACGATAGTAAGGATGAGAAGAAAAAGCAGCAGTTCCCTGTTGAGATTCCGACACAGTTATGAGCATGGCATCGATGAATCAGCCCGTTTACAATTCTACTGTGCAACAGAACATGGTAATGTCCCCCCATTAGGGAATGGCTTAAAGACACTTCAGTCTGTAGCACCGCCCTGGGGGTAGAACAGGAAAATATAAATATATTACATACAAGTGGACAGAGAAAGCAGTATCTTTAGGTCAAGATGAACAGTGTAAAGAAGTAAATATATTTCCATCGTAGAGTCGTGGGAAAATACGCCTTCAGAGTTCAGACGTCATCACTCTCGTGCAAGACATCTATAAATGGATCATCGTCATTAAGTGCCAGATCTGCGACAGACATTGGCGATCATGGTTCGCCATTCATTCCTTTGGTCGGATGCTCTAAAAACAAACAAACAAAACAACACGGCAACAACCAAAGACAAACAAAGAAAAAGAAAAAATACAAACTTAAGGACGATAAGGGTTGATAGGAAAGAAGTAGCAAACCACACCAGAGCACCCACCCACCGCCCACTTCCTCTACTTCCCACCTGGCATTCATCACCGACCCACTATACTACAAGCACCTCCTTATTCTCCCTCTCCTCGTGTTATTTCTGTAACTTGACATAATTATCCTGATCTTTCCCAGTCTCCAATTCAGTCAGGCCTTCCAAGTAAGTTGCTCCCAGTCCACCCCTGCCCCATTTTCCTTCAACTTTACCAGTAAAAAAAAATTAATATCCTTAATTAAGGAAAGTAGATCCCCCGCCAACTCTCTGAAAAAAAAATCTCATGAATAGCTGTTCAAAATAATAGACAATACATTTTGAGAGCCAAATTTTGTACATTATTGCAAGCGAGTTCTGTTGGACGCCATGTTGGTTTTCCTTCTGACAACATCATTTTGCAGTGCACATTTTAGTAGTAATGGCGTCCATGGTCTAGTGGTTAGATTCTTGGACTCTCAATCTTAAGGTCGTGGGTTCGGATCCTGTCTTGGACTTTATGGTGTGTTCTTGGAGAAAG